AATTCGAACATTATAAGATCGCCGCTGAATCTTCCAGTATGATCTGTGAATATCTCAATAGGCTTTTACTGAAAAACAATGATAAACGTCAAACCGTAGGGGATGGTAGATACAAGAGACAAACAATTCATGCGGTTTGTATCTATTATCAGTACAATTTATTTTTCATCTTAGATCTTCATATTTTAATTTGTCATTAAACGCATCATCCTTAAGCTGGCTTACCTGATATGGAAGGAACGAGTTGTCTATGATATCAAGTATAAGCATTCAGATCGGCTCATGCATCAAATATTTGAATGCATTCGAAAAGATAGAGATGAAGAGGATTCAGTTCCTGAAGTTGTTGCGGAAGTTATTAAATCATTTGGTTCATTAAAATTTTGGTTTTTTTTCTCATGAATTTCATGCATCTTTCGATCACATTCGCTAATTTATTATTCGTGGATTTCAGTCGAACTCAATTCCTTAACCGAGAGTAAACATCAATTATACATTGAAGAATTCGAGAAACCATATTTGAACAAGACGCGACAATACTATGAGAGGGAATCTGCTGCAGTAATCGCGAATGGTAGCATCTCGCAATATATGAAGGCGGTATGTCAGATACATTAAATTTACCCTTTAAACTATGAAGAGAATATCATGTAATCGAAATAATTTGTCTCCTTAAATGTCCAGGCATGTGAAAGGTTAGAACAGGAAGTGACACGTAACAAAAAATACTGTGACGAGTCATCCCACAATACAGTATGTGAACAGAGCGTGTTGTTTTACATTTCATTTGGATCTTTTCGCTTACCTGTAAATGTTAAAAAAAAAATAGACAATCAAAGAGTGCGAAACCCAATATATAGCTGTACATCAGTCGCGAATACACTCTGAATTCGAATCCATGATATCAAGCGAGAAATTTGAGGGTATAAATACGATGCATTTTCGTTTTTTTTCTATTTAAAAATTTATTTATTTATTTACTTTTTTACATATTTAGATTGCACCATGGCCTACAATTTGTTATCACGTATTCCGGGAGGAGTCAATCCTTTATTGGAAATATTTGAGCGATATATTACGAACATCGGGCAAGAATTGATTGCTAGAATGGGGAATTCAATAGCAAAGGTATATTATCTTCGGGAAACTGTAGATGATCTTTCGATATTATTAATCAATCGCTATGTTATTCAGGATCCCAGGGAATATGTAGAGTCACTCATGGATCATCACGTAAAATATATGAATCTCTGTCACAAAGTATTTATCAATGATCCGGCATTTGTCGCAGCAGTTGATAAAGCCTTTAGAACGATCGTAAACGATGTGAACACCAATCCATTGGCGCTTGCTCCGGAGGTTCTCGCTCGTTACTGCGACGTAATGTTAAAAAAGACTCATAAGGGTAGTTGGAGTGAACAAGAGGTCGAGGAAAAGTTAAATAGGATGGTAACGTCTTTTATATAATATAGACGTATATATATTACATATGTATGTATATGTGTAGGTAATATGTATATAGATATGTATGTGTGTATATATGCATTTTGATGATGTAAGCTCTTTGATCGATTCATTAATAACAACTGTTTATTTAGATCATCCTTTTTAAATACATAGACGATAAGGATGTTTATCAGAAATTCTATTCGAGAATGCTTGCAAAACGCCTTATATATGGTAACTCTGCTTCACATGAGGCCGAAGCGAGTATGATATCTCGATTGAAGGTTGTAACTACTATGGTTGTTATTTTCAGCGCTTGGAACTATATTGAGAATTAATTATTTTGTCCTTGTAGAGCTCGTGCGGTGTGGAATATACTAGTAAATTGCAAAAAATGTTTACTGACATCACTATTAGTTCGGATATTAACAGTAGCTTTGCTGATTTTGCGAAGAGAAATCCTATGAGTGGTGGGTAATTTATTATTGATATAGTTTTGAAATTTATATGTATAGATGCTGACTTTACATATTTTTATAAATAGCTTCTACAGTAGATTTTTCTATATTAGTTTTGACCGCTGGAGCTTGGCCGTTAACACAGGCTTCAACAACAGAATTCCAGTTGCCAACTGAGGTAATAATAAGTCTTACGATTCAATAAATAAATTGGCGTCATTATCACTTATATGTTGAATTATTAACTTAGTTGGAGAGAAACGTTTCTCATTTTTCAACATTCTACAACGGTCATCATAGTGGAAGAAAGTTGACATGGCTGTGGCATTTGTCCAAAGGTAGTATATATATTATGTTACATCAATTATTGAAATTCGAAATGTTTATATGTTATCAATTATATATGTCGTCCAGCCGATGTGAAATTGAATTATCTTGATAAACGCTACGAGTTTTCGGTATCGCTTCATCAACTAGGCGTTCTGCTTTTGTTCAACAACGCAGACACCTATTCCTTTAAGGACATAAGGGAACATACTGGACTGAGTGAACAAGAACTAAGGAGGGTAATGAAGGTATTTAAATAAATAAATATAGATATATATATTTCTTGTTATCTTTTTTAAATGAAGTAACGGTAATATTGAATTTTATTCGGTTGTTTAGCCTATGATTGACTTAACAGTTTTTCTCGTAATCCCAGTTGGCACTCTTCAAGACGAAACGCAGATAAATTTGAATATGAACTTTACAAAGTAAATATAATACATATTTATAATCACATTATCTAGTTAACCTGCTCGATTTCTACTAAACACAAATATATATATGCATGCATACATAGTAAACGAAACAAAATCAAGGTTAGTTCTTCTCTGCAAGCCGAAACACCTCAGGAAAACGATGCCACACGAAAAGCTGTAGACGAAGATCGCAAGCTATATCTCCAGGTAATAAAATTTTACACGGATGATAACCAAATTAAGTTTACTAATACCTTTTCCAAATATAGGCGTCGATCGTGCGTGTAATGAAATCACGCAAGACTCTGATGCATAATCTACTAGTAAAAGAAGTCATAGATCAGGCGAAAGATAGATTTAATCCCAGTATACCAATGATCAAAAAATGCATCGAGCAATTATTGGATAAGCAATATTTAAAGAGAACCAAGGAAAATAAAGATAAATACGTTTATGTGGAGTGAAAATGGGTTAATATAGGATCATATTTAACAACAATTGTCATAGTTTTATTTGAAGGTATCATCTTTGTAGAATGTGTTACATGACACAGGAATGAAAAATGTTGTCTTTGCCATTAGAGTTTTTTGTTGGTACTATTGATGAACAGCATCAATAATACGATCTCTTAAGCGTTCGATATTTCTTTAGATAGTATAATGCCTCTAGCTCTTCAAAAGGAGATAATAAAAAGTATTTTAATCATTATATCCGATTTTTCTTTGTCGAGAATATGGTGATAAAAAGATATTAACCACCAATGAAGCATACCTTTAACAACGTATTCACCAGTGCCAATTGCATTTTTTATTTCATCGTCATTTGCTAAATCGCGATTTTTCAAGAATGCCTTTTTTAACCTTGGACGAAAATATGAATAACCTAGTGGATACTCCCTACCGAGGAACAAGAGCTATTTTAAACATGACATCAATTAGAATTCGGATGCCAAAAGATTGATTCGCGAAACATTCGGTCGTCAATTACTGGAATTACCCTTTTGTACAAATCTCTTACTTGATAACGAAGCGATATTGGTTGTTGTGACATATTTTAATCGAATAATTGGTGATTCGAGCCTAATATATAAAGTGATCACATCACGAAATATAAGTTCATACGTAATTATCCAAATAGTTTGAAATATTAATGGTGTGCAAGTCTTTTTTACCCACCCATCCTTAACTCGTCTTTGTGATGCATATTTTTCGAATATCTCTAATTGTGCAATGAATAAAATTATGACTTTATTAATTAATGATAATAATAATAATAATAAATTGGTATAGATTTAATAATTAAAATAAAGATTTTAAAATTATTATTTTTTTTTTTTTACCTAATATCAAGTAAAACATTAGGATTTATATTATAGCTTTTTCTAGTTTATATTGAACCTTATTTTATTGATCGGCACTCAAAATTACGCCATTTAAAAATTTTAAAAAAAAATCCATATAAATCATGTAATGTGCGAACATACAGTTTCTTTCTGGTCTAAAAACCATTAAAAAAAAATTTTTTTTAGTTCAAAATGAAACTGGACGCAAAAATGTTACGCTATATGAACGCGGAAGAGTTCCGTGTTCTTACAGCAGTAGGTCCTATGATTATCTAAAAAATTACAAAAAGAATTGGGATTTCTTCAACTGCGCTCATTTAATTCAAAGGTCGAAATGGGTTCTAAGAATCATGAAGTCGTGCCAACCCCTCTGGTCGCCCAAATAGCAGGATTACGACATGGGGGTAGTCATAAAATACTTGGTGAATTAGCTAAGAAAAATCTCGTATCCAGGGTGAAGAATGCTAAATGTAGGAAATCTGTTTTGTAAATCAATGACGCGACTTCTTTACTAATTCACCTATTCTTATTAATAGATGATGGATATAGATTAACCTATGGTGGATACGACTATCTGGCACTAAAGACATTTGTAAAGCGTAATAGTGTTTATTGTGTGGGAAATCAGATTGGGGTCGGCAAAGAATCAGGTATGCACATTGAAGCACTAGAAGAAATCTACGCGAATTTGTATTCCTGACAATAATTATGTAGATATATACGTTGTCGCTGATGAAAACGAAAATCAATATGTTCTAAAGATACACAGGTTCGTACAAATCTAAACAGATCAAGATATATGTATATATATATTTACTAGATAACCATTTGTGCTATCCATAGACTTGGTCGCATTTCATTTCGTGCAATTAAATCAAAACGTGATTATCTTCAACACCGAAAATCTGCGTCTTGGATGTACATGTCGAGATTAGCAGCTATTAAGGAATTCTCGTTTATGAAGGTGAGTTTGATCATTTGCCGGGATTCTCTCAAAATATTGATGTTAATTGGAAAACTTTTATGATTAGGTATTGCATGAAAATGGGTTTCCTGTCCCTGAACCAATCGACAATTCCAGACATTGCTTAATAATGGAATTAATTGATGCTTACCCGTTGTACGTTTCCGAAAATCTTGTCATATTTTTGGTAGACAGGTTATGCTATTTTTAAATTTCATTTTATGCATATTTAGACAGCAAATAACTAAAGTGAAAGACCCCGGGAAGCTTTATTCCGACTTGATGAATCTTATTGTAAAGCTTGCGCAGTATGGTCTTATACATGGGGATTTTAACGAGTTCAATATTCTCGTAAAGGAAAACGGAGATCCTGTGCTGATTGATTTCCCGCAAATGGTGTCAACATCACATCCAAATGCTGAATGGTTAGTCAATTTCGAACGAAACATCTGTTTAGACATATTCGAAATTGAACTTTGTTTGACTCTAGGTATTTTAATCGGGATGTGGAATGTATAAGAACCTTTTTCAGAAAGCGGTACAATTATGAGAGTATGTTATTTCCCAAATTTAAACTGGACGTAAATCGAGAGTTTGATCTGGACGTTCAAGTGGCTGCAAGCGGTTTCACCAAGCAATATCAACAAGAATTAGAAATGGTAGGTCAATCATTTAGTATTCCCCAGGATGATGTTCCCCGAACAGATCTATTAACACAAGTCTAATAACCTGATGTAGTATCAAAAGGAATTGGACGACGATGAAGTTGATGGTGAATTAAATAGTGATCATGATGAAAATTCGGAAGAGGAAGATGAAGAAGATGATGTTGGCACGGTAATGATCAGGCAGGCAATTTCAAATATAGATCCACGAATTTATTATTTTCAAAATTAATCATGCCAGGCCGAGGATTCGGTGGATCTTTCAACATCCGAAAATGAACTAAGCTCAGATTCAGAGTCAAACCCGGAGATTTTGAACAACCGAGATTACAAAGCTCACGTGGATACCAAAAAAAACTCAAAAAAACCACCCCCCAACAACACTAAATTCAGTGAGACAGATATAAAATCTCGAGTAGTACAATCGTTAAAGAAAAAGAGTGATAAAAAGAAACGGTATCATTCAACGAGGAATAATGTTAAAGGAAAAGAAAAAAGAAAAGCCAGAGACGTGGCAAAATATAATGGCAAGGATGATGGGATTTTTGGTTGAAACAATATATACCCATATTTTTTTTTATCCCTGGTAAGAATTTCGAAACGTTTGGTCTAATTATATCTATTTGGGTAATTATTTTTGAAGGCTGCAAAAATGCTAGATATGATTTTTTCGGTCCCTACTTTTAAACAATACATATACAATGTAAATTTTAGGATCACAATTATAGTGACCGAAAAATCCCTGTCCGCCTTCGAAAAAAATTACCCATTTATTATTATCCATCCTGGTTTTCTATCATACTCACATACCATACAAAAAAAATCTTATTATAATAATTAAAACTAATAATTTGTTGATCAAAATTACCAAGTTACTGCAAATACTTTTGACACAAATAACCCAATATTGAATAGAATGAGTTCTGCTTTCGATGTACAAAACTTAAGAATTGCCGATTTGACCGACAATCCAATCCAGACCCTCAAATAAACTACAGAGAAGATGCATCAATTATTATTTAATATGTGAATACAATAATAATAATAATAAATCAGCGCCAATTATCCAATATATAACTTACCCTTCGCCAGTCAAAGCACAACACGCCTGCATGCACAAAAGTTAAATTTTGTAATCATTTAATCACACATAAATCCCGATATGACTCACCTGTATATGCCATTGTCGATCTCTCATGCTTGTCAAATTTAATGCCTCTGAAATTTGTGCTGCTGATAATGCACCCTTTATATCTTGTTTATTGGCAAACACCAGTAGAACGGAATTTTTGAGGTTCTTTAAACAAAAATTAATAATAAGATTTAGCAGAGTTATAAATTTCAAATTCAGGAAAGAACTCCAAAAATACCTCATCTTCCATCATTGTATGCAATTCTGTCCTCAATATATGAAGACGTTCCTTGTCTGTACTGTCAACGACCATAATGACGGCTTTTGTTTTTATATAATAAGTCTTCCATGAAGTTCGCAAAGAGTCTTGTCCTCCAAGATCCTATAGAATACATATTCCAATAAAAAAGAAAAAATGCACATGTTGAGAAAAAAATTTTTAAAGTTCTGCTAAATTAATATTAAAAAACTTACCCACATAAGGAAGCGAATATTTTTATAAACTATTTCCTAATTTTTAAAATAGATCGTTGCTAGAATATGATTAAGAAATGATATTAAGGGACAGAAGAAAGACATGATCTCGACTTCGCGCATACTTCCAGGTTGCTTCCGATCGTAGGGGTTGTCACCACCACTTCATTTAGTAATCTATTTAAAACAAAATCCTTTAAGAATAATTGTTTTCATAGATTGCTTGCATCTAAAGTGTGACACTTACAATTTATATAAAACTGTGGTCTTTCCTGCGTTGTCTAATCCCACGAGCACAATCTTCACCTCCTCTTTGCTAGTAAGTCTGCGCCATAATTTAACAAGCACAATTCCCATTTTATCGAAACGTATTTTCACTTGGCAATAGAAGAATGTGTTAACATATGTATAAAGGAGTGACAAATGGATTCAACATTTTATACACGTACACGTAGTTCATTAAACATTGAAATGAAATGAAATACAATTTGATTGGTTGATCAGACTTATATGTTGCATTAGATCTGGTTGATGGTTCCTTCTCACTCTCAAATACCACATTTGCGGTACGTAAAATTAAAAACCGTTCTCTGGCATCCATCAGAAAGACGTTAAATATTAAATAAATTGGATAGGATTGTTTATTAGAAAGTTTTTTCTAGCTTCATAAGACATAGAGATGACCACTGTTTATTTTTATTTAGACTTGTCTTTAAGTTTCCTTGTCAGGATCCCCTTGAACACGTGAATACTTTTGCAAAAAATTCAAGATGCCAAAGGGAGACAATCGCACTAAAAAAGCCGAATACTTTGGCAAGCTCAAATCTTTACTGGAAGAGTATCCTTCCATTTTTATCGTGAACGTCGACAATGTGGGATCCAATCAAATGCATCAGATTCGTCATTCTCTCCGTGGTAAAGCTATCATCCTAATGGGAAAGAACACTATGGTCAGAAGGGCTCTTAAAACCTTAATTACTGAAAATCCTCAGCACGATAAGCTGTTGCCTCATGTCAAAGGAAACATTGGTTTTGTGTTTACAAAGGGTGATTTAAAAGAGACGCGGGATGTGATCTTATCCAATAGGGTATGATCTATTACTTCACTTTTGTTTCCGTTCACTGTTTAAATAATCGATATATCCTTTTTCTTCGTTTAGGTTCGTGCACCTGCTAAAGCTGGTGCTGTCGCGCCTATTGATGTAATTGTGCCTGGTGGTAACACTGGTATGGAACCCGGCAAGACCTCTTTCTTCCAAGCTTTAGGTGTCCCGACCAAAATTGCACGTGGTACTATCGAAATTATCAACGATGTGCATCTCGTGAAAGCTGGAGGGAAAGTTGGTCCTTCCGAGGCTACATTATTGAATATGTTGAATATTTCCCCTTTTACATACGGATTGACCGTTCTTCAAATATATGACAACGGCACCACCTTCCATCCATCTGTTCTCGACATCGAGGAATCAACCTTGATTGACAATTTTATGAGCAGCGTTAAAACTGTTGCTGCTATCGCCCTTCAGATAGGATACCCAACAGTCGTCTCTGCTCCCCACTCTTTGATCAATGCTTACAAGAATTTGCTGGCTATTTCAGTTGCTACCAACTACACTTTCCCCGGCTCCGAAAAGGTAAACCTATTGATTTTTCGAATTTCTTACCAGTTGGGAGACCATGCGATGACCCTTTAATGATTAGGAGAATACGATGAATTTCAAAATTTTTGCTCTAATTTTTTACTGATGGTTTCTTTGAACTCTTTAAATCAATAATTTTTTTGTTGTTCATAATATGCTAACCAAAATTCCTTATAACAGATCAAGGCATATCTCGCAGACCCGTCTGCATTTGCTGTTGCTGCACCAGTTGCAGAGACCACTACCACCACTACTGCCAAGAAAGAAGATGCTGCTTCCGCCAAGGAACCTGAACCGGAAGATTCGGATGACGATATGATGTTGGACATTTTCGGTTAGAAGTAGACAATACGGCTTTATTTATTATATTAACATGCATTATATAGGAAGTTTAAAATGTCGGAAATATTATATAGCCTTTAAAAATGTATTCTACCCGTGAATTGTTATGCATCGATTGCGTTGTTAAAATCTCAATCAAGCAGAATTCAATGTATATAATGTGTGTTAATATAAGTAAAAAACCTTGTTTTTGAAAACTTTCTCTAAAAAACAAAAGCATGTTTCCCATTTGAACAAAGTATAAATTAAAACATTTTTTGTATATTTTATATAACGAAATTTTTGCATAAAAATAAATGTTTACACAGATTATATAGAATCACTATAATTAATCGAAAATAGTTACTGTATATAATTTTTTTTGTATATTAAGTAAACCAGTTTCTCATAATAAATTCTATCCTACAGTAAAATTTCTTTAAATATGAATAAAATAAAACAAAATTTTTTTGTTAAAAATTCTGATACCTATTTGATTTTTATAATTAATATTTAGAAACTATTTATTATTAATAATTCTAGATTTCATAAAGTTTTATTAAATATTTAAAATTCTATACTATATACAGTATATATTTTTATCTTAAAAAATAACTTTACTTTATAGTTGTAACCAATAATTAACTATACTGTAATAAGTATAAAATAATAATATCATTATTAAGTTTACTAATACAGATTTTTATTCAATTTTAATATAAAGGTTTTATAAAAGATACAATTACAAGTTTATTTAACATAATGCTACTTATCAATTATTCAGCAAAAAAAGTAAATAATTTAATAAAATATATATCAAATTTATAAACATAAATTTTGATTATAAGTTGATATATAATTTATAAATAATTTGATATATAATATTTGTTTATATTTATTTGATTTTTTTAAATTTTGTTTAATCTTATATTGTTAAAATTTTATATATTTTATTTATAAAATTATTAGTTTAATTTATTTTTTTTTAGTTTAAAATAATATATATTCACTATTTTCTTTATTGTAATAACTTGAAAAAGTATAAACTTATAATAAAATAATTTAGGTTTTCTATAATTTTTCAATAAGTTAAATCCAGACTATATTAAAAAAACTAGCTTATATATATTTATTTATTCAAAAGTAAAGATTAAAATAAATTTCAAAAATATATTATAATCACAATTGAAACCAATTTTATAGAGAAAAAAAATTATTAATTATATAAAGATATTATAGTCAAATATATAGGTTTGCTTTTAAGTTATAATTGGGATTGATATATTTGCTTTTCAAAATTGACTTAATATATAAATATAAAGTTAAGTTATTGATATTTTTTTACTTTTAAAGAGCAGGATAATGATCCTTTTAGTTTTTTTATTATAATTTTATAATAATTACAATATACAA